AAAAAAAAAAAAAAAAAAAAAAAAAAAACCTGGAAAGCAATCCTATGTGACAGCCCCATCCATGCACCCAAAAATCAAAATATCTCCAAGCCTGGGAATAAACACAAAATGCTGATGAAAGAAGCTGAAGCGCACACACACAGAAATGCAAAAATTTTCAATATAGACTGGAAAGATATTCTTTTTTTTGTTAGAACCAGGTGTTGAACTCACACCCTACTGAGCTATCTTCCCGGCCCCATGGAAAGATACTCTTAAAAAACAGTACCTATATATTTAGTAGAATCCCCATCAAAATGTCATTCTTCACTTAACTATTAAGACCAATTCTAAAATTTACATGGAAGTGGGATCTCAGCCAAAATAATTACAAACAAATAAAGCAGAGGTCAACATAATGCCTTAATTACCAGACACACTAGACATAGTAACCAAACTAGTATAACATAGTACAATAAAAATGGACACATTGATCAATGGAAGTGAATAGAGACCCTAGAAAAAACCCCCACTGACTTACAGTCAACTGTTTCTTGACAAAGGTGCCAAAGATATATAGTACACTAGAGAAACATACTGTACTGCCCTATATAAAACTGAACTCAAGATGGACCAAAGACTTACATGTAGGACTGGATTACTAGAAAAAAAAACTAATAAACAATTCTATATATTTGTGAAGGCAATAATATTCTGGAAAGGACCTTAAAAACATAGGAAACAAGCAAAAGATGATAAATGCTATTACATCAAGTTAAAGGAAATTAATGGAGATAACCAACAACATAGGATAAAACAATATGCCAAATATTCATATGACAGATATAATATCCAGAAAATATAAGAAGTTAAAAAAAAAAATCACAAGAAAAGCCAAGGGATCTAATTAAACATAGGTAAATAATCCGAATGGATACACTTCTCAAAAGAAATAGTGCTGAGAGGTGCTGAGGTTCAATCTGTGGAGGAGGAAGACCAAAAATAGAGCCTATGAAAAAATGCTTTATATCATTAGCTATCAGGAAAATGTAAATCAAAACTACAGTAAGGTAGCATCTCATTTCAGTTGGAATGGCTACTATTAAAGAACACTGTATGTAACAAAGGCTGATGAAAATGTGAAGGAACACTGACACATTATTGGTAGGAATATAAATTAATTCAGCCATTATGCAGAACAGCATAAGGATTACCAAAAAAACCCCTAAATATACCGTATGACCCAGCTATTCTACTTCTGGGTTTATATCAAAGAAAGCAAAATCAGCATACCAAAGAGATGTCAATATCTGTTTCAGCACTATTCAAAATACCTAAGGAATCAATCTAGATGCCTACCATCAGAGGATTAAATTTTTTTTTTTTTTTTTGGGCAGAACCGGGGATTGAACTCAGGACCTTGAGCTTGCCAGGCAAGCGCTTATCCTACTGAACTATCTCCCCAGCTCCCTAAGAGACAATAAATTTTGTATGTACAATAAAGTATAGTTGAGCCACAAAGAATGAAATCCTGTCATTTGTACAAAAATAGATTGAGGTGGAGGATGTTATGATAAATAAAATAAGCCAGACATGGGACCAAAAGCTTCCTCTTACTTGTGGAAGCTGAAAGGTTAATCAGAAAGCAGAAGAGGGATTGGGAAGGGTATGTGGGCAGTGGTGTGGAAAATGGAGGTTGGGCTGAATCAATGCATGATACAGTGATGCACACACAAATACCATACTGAATTCCATTAATACAACTAATATATAATCAATAAAAAATTCAGAAAACTTTAGAACTATGTCCCATAAAAGTACATAGTTATTTCTTCACTCCTTTTAGTATGGCGATGAGAATGGAAGAAGGCAAACAAGCAGAGCTGAGTGGTGAATTTTTTTTTTACTGTTAATTTGACACAGCTGAACCAAAGCATTCACAATACTTGATATACTTTGAAGAGAATCATATACTATAGTCTTAAGACATACCACAGAACAAGCAGAACAATTAGAGCTACATAAGGCCTTAAAAGATATCCACAGTGTATATTATTTTAATATTCATTCATTTACAAATTAAACTACATACCATTAAACTTATTTTTCTTTTTCTTTCATTGTTTTAATCAAGCAGGATTCATTCAAGAAAAGGCAACTTAGTTTTTGCATGTGAGCTTTATTTTTTACTACACTGGTTAATATAACACTTATGAGTGAAATGTTTTCTTACCTCCTATATGTAGGAGTAAACCCATCAAATTCTCAGAGTAAAAGCCAAAATGAAAAAGGGACCAAATAGCCAGTCTAGTTGTGGTGATGAAGAACAGCTAACAAACTTTCAGGTTTTTATGTGATCAAGAGTACTACAACTCTATGAGATTAGTCAAATTTAAAACAACATTGCATACAAAATCAGGCTTGAAGCCCTAACTGCCTTTTAAATAGCTAAATGAAAAATTTTAAGTAGTTGCCTCACAGTTCCATACTTATAAATCCAATCTAATTAAAATTCAGTGCTGTCATGAATTCTCAGTTACATGATAACTAATTAGTAAGGGACAGATGGCATAAAAACTAAAACTTCATTTCTTTTTCTTCTTTTTTAAAGGGTAAATACATTATGACCAGAGAAAACAGAAAATTCAATGTATATGGTAAAATAACCTGTTAAGCCTCTATCCATCCCTGTACAACAGGGTTTAGATCAATTCTGATTAACTTGCATGTTTTCTTTATTCTTTTTCATTTTTGTAGTTATTCTATTATGAGTACTTGAACCATTTTAGAAGTATAGCTTTTATTACACTTGTACACCAGGAGAATTTTTAGTACATTGAGGTTTTAAAAATATTTATAAATTTGTTTCTGATATGCAAAAGCATTTGGCAATACTTTTACAGCATTTGATTTTTATAATTAAAATTTCATACAGTACTCATTTGATGTTTTAAAAAAAATTCACAGAAAAATATAAATTATATAACCTGACTGCATGATACTGTTAGTTCCAGTTTCTAGTTCTGGTAATTAAAACCTTCATTAAGTCTGTTAGCAAATCATTACCTGTACATTTATGAAGGCAACTGTCATGATTTGCAAACAAAACCTTCAGGTTTTATGCTATTTACCAAAGAGTGCAGTTCAGCAAGAAAAGAAAACCCAGTATGCAAATTTACATGTTTTACAAATTTACCAGTTCCTGTGACACAAACTGTTTCAACCTTTCAAGGTATTGCCCATAAAGTTCCACATCATTGTGTCCTGCTCCTTCAACCCACAGAGGCTCCACGGGTCTTTGGCAACGCTCAAACAATGCGAGGCCATGTGAAAAGTCAATGACTTCATCTTCAGTCCCATGAATTATTAATACAGGAGAGGTTATCTTAGAGATTTTGTCAATGCTGTAACATAAAAAGAAAGGAGAAAAGAGAAGTTAACTATGTAAAAAGAAATATAAATTATCTTATTCTATAACAGAAAATTCAAACATCAGAAACCATACGAAACAGAAAATTCAAACATCAGCTCAGAAGAGATGGATGTCTTCGGTTTTGAGAAACATTTCAAAAGCTGGTTTTTGATTCCCACAAACGCTGGCAACAGGCCTTCATGTTCAGATCAGCTCTTTAATTCTGCACTCTTACATATTAGCAGACAGCGAAGAATTTAAAGACATTAAAAGAAAATGCTTCAAATGTAAGAGATAAAGGCGATTTTTCAAAGGTAACTTGGAGGACAAACTGTAGAAAACAAACCTCACAAACAGGTCTTTTTAAACATCTTGAGAAAGAGGTAAGAGTATAAATGTAGAATGAGAATGTAATAAAATCTTATAAAAATAATCAGTGAAAAAAAATTGAGGTTGTATTTGCTAAGTAAAAGGCTTATGTATACTTTTGCTGTCAGAAAGATGTTCAACAGTAGAGGAATTAAAATTTTGAAAGAATTACTTTTTCAAGGATTTTGTTTACAGGCAGCACAGTTCTGTCTTGGGAGTGGCTCAGACACAAATGAGTGAACTAGGCAAACTCTAAGTTGATGTCACCTAAACCATCTTCCCCTCTGAATTCTTACCCAGCTAAACAGAAATGGTTTAACAGATTTTATTAGCTAAAAAAAGACTCAAAAGAAAAAAACACCCATCATGGTAGAGTTCTTGCTCTTTTTGGTGCTTAATTTGAAACACAGCAAACAAAAAGCAAAACCAACAAAACCCCAAAAAAACAAAAACAGGGAAGATAAACCAATCCTCCACCCACCCTCAAACTTCCCTTAGCCTGCAGTAGTGATAAGATCATCATTAGTACTTTCTCTACTAAAAATGACACTTTTCTGGCTGACAATGAAAAAGTTTGTTTTTGAAATAACCTTTGCTCTTTCAAAGAACCAAGGGACAACATGGCTATTGACCAACTGTTCACACAAACTTCTTTATATTGCTGCCAACTAGTGAAAGGGAAACCTAAGATTTAACAGCATTTCTCTTATACCTTTCTCCCTCTTTGAAGAAAATAGGTCATCAATTCTTTCCATCTACAGTACGGACAAAAAACTAAGAGGGGAGATAGCTCAGCGCGGTAAAGAGCCTGCCTGGCAAGTGCAAGGTCCTGGATTTGATCCTGGTTACTACATGCTATGCCAGCCCCAAAACCAGGCATAGGGGCACACGCCTATAATCCCAGCGCTGGGAAGGCTGAGACAGGAGTCCAAGCTCTGTAGCAAGACCCTGTATAAATAAATAAGTAAAAATTAAAAAAATACAAATAAATGAGGTGGGAACTGTTTCTTGTCTTGAGAAGCAGGAAGTGGCTGCTCCTTTTCAAATATCCATAAACTGTATGTTTGTAGGTTGTGTGGTGATGATACAGAAGATCCTCTCCATTACGACCCAGGCAAGCCGTTCAGATTTACCACACATACCCCCTTGATACAGTTCTGTATGTCTTGTTAATAAAGCTTCAGTGTCTTTTTGGGGAAGTACAGTATACCTCATTTACACACAGTGCTGAAATTTCTGCTTGTACTACATAGTATTGTAGTGTAATGTGGTTATATAATTCTGCATCTGTGTTATACAAATAAAACCAGTCATAAAGTTGAAATTACCTTTGACCATATCTTTGTTCTGAATATTGTAATGTATAGACTATAGACAATTCGTCATTTACTAACCAAATTCAATGAACAACCTACTTGCAAGTCTCTAATTCATGACAAGAATTTTGTAATTTTTGGTAAATTAGATATCATCAATTAAATATCATTGACTAATTCTCTCTCTACTTATTTTTTCCTTGTTAGGTATGTCACTTAATGGTATCCATTAGCAAGCAGCTCAACAGAGGAACGAGGATCTCATTACAGTTCTCTGTATAGTACCTCACATCCAGTTGTACAGCCAGTTCTATCAATTTTATTTCACAATTTCATTGTTTTGTGTCTAATACTAGTGACACTGTGTAGGATATAAGGTTTTCCTTTCATTTGAATTACTCTTGGTCAACCTTTCTGACATTCTTTCTGGCTGTAGTGGATTGCCAACTGGTGGTCAACTTGTTACACCAGCTGAACTCAACTAGTGTGGTGCTGGGTGTGGGATGTGGGACACTCACTTGGAGATTGTTGCCAATAGTATAAGAGGCAGAACTGATGAATAAACAATGATGAAGCTATTGGGGAAGCTGTCAGGAAGCTGCTGGTTTTCTTGGGGTGTTCTGCTGGAGAGCCTTACCATTCTGGCTTTACTGATGAACTTGGATGATCTCATTAGAGGAGGAGCTTGTGACCTTGCTGTAGCAGAATGGCTATGATGTACTTTGGGGGAGCTCTGGTCCTCACCCTCAACATCACTTCCTGGCTCCGGAGGGGAAGATGGTGCACAGCTCAGTCTCCTAGAGAAACTTGTCCTTGGCTTTCTTGATGGAAACTCAGCTTTCCTCCTCCTCTTTGGAGGAGCTCACGACCTCATTGAGGCTATGGTACTTTTGGGAAGAGCTCCGGTTCTTACCTTGAGTGTCACTTCCTGGTTCCAGTGCAGATCCCTCAGCCTGCTAGCATAAATCTTTCATCCTGCTGGTACAGACTTTTTAGCTTCTACCACTAACCTTTGGGCTTTCCCAACGCAGATCCATGACATAGGCTTCAATGAAACACTGCCATGGGCTTCTAGTTGGACTCATGGGAGGCACTGCTATGGGCTCTAGGTTTTCAGCTTGATGCGTGCAGGACATTATCATGGGATCCAGGCCCTCAGCTGAATTCTTTGGTCTTTAGCATGTGAACAGATTTCCTACACTCTTTGTATGATTCATTATAAAATATGTGTACTGTGTTTCAATAGTCCCCTTGCAAAATTCCCAAACTATGACACTGGACATCTGCCAACACTCTTCAAGTCAATTTTTCCCTGTTTCTACATGATAACATGAAATAGAAACTCATGGCTGAATGAACTGTTATCCATGTCTTAAGTGATAGGAAAAAAAAACCCAAAATCTTTTAAGTTTCCTATAATTGAACTATCTTGAATATTACCACTTACTTTGGGAATGCATCAAAACAGTAGGTCTTCTTAGTATCAGGAAAAGCAACTCGCATTCCCGAGGTCAAAGGAGAATGAAGAATAACAGCAGCACTCTCATATCGAGCAGCAAGGTCCACAGATGGTACTGTCCCAATACTTTGTCCATATATAATCACATTTTCAGGACGAATGCCATACCTACAAAATTCAGAAATTAAAAAAAGTTGTACCAGAAGGAAATGTTCTTTCATTTCTAAAGATTATCATTGGAATGATGTAGGGTGAGACAATGTTAAGTAATAAATGATTAAAAATTAAGTTTCTCAGCACTATCAATTTTTATACTATGCACAAGGTCCTGAGTTTGATCCCTGGAACCACCAAAAAAAAAAAAAAAAAAAATATATATATATATAAATATATATATATATATATATTTACAATAAACCCTCAATTCTACATTTATTTCATCTATTTAATCTTTCAGAAAATAATTACTGGCATTGTCATTGTTTAAAATTTCAATGTATTAAAAATGATATTAAATTGTTATTACATTTTAGTAATTCAATATAGACTAAGCATAGCATATGCCATATTACTGCCTTTTCTTCTTTTTGTGCCCCTGGACACTGAACCCAGTGTTTTGTGGATAGCAGCCCCTCTTCCACCTGACCTTTTTGCATTTTGTTTCGACATAGGGCTGGCCTTGAACTTGCAACTATTCTGCTTCAGCTACCCAAGTAGCTAAAATTACAATTCTGTGCCACCAGGCCCAGTTATATCACTAATATTTTAACAGTCTCAGGCACATTTAGTTTTATGTTTTACTTAATATAACAAAAATTATTTCTCAAGACATAGGCAATGGCGTTTTTATTTTTTAAACTAGTCATACTGATGAAATCCTACAGAAAACTATGGTATGAAATGAGTATAAAGCACAATTTTTAGTCAAGAGCAAATTAGCGGGCCAGGGAGATAGCTCAGTAGAGTAAGTGCTTGCCTGCAAGCACAAGGTTCTGAGCTCAATCTCCAGTACCGGAAAAAAAAAAAAAAAAGATCAAATTAGCATTTCTTGAAATTTTCCCATGCTTATTTGCAGAGATGGACTAGTAGCTAAAAAGATGAGATAAACTACAATTCCAAACACTATACAGTTCAGTCACTTATGAATAGACTTCAAGAGTACAATTTTACCCTCTTTACCATTGCTAGAGATTTAAGTATGAATTTATTGACTTAGCAAATATTTATTGGGTACTTAGCATGTTCCCAAGAACTACTAGTTGTCTGTATTACAAACATCTCATACGAAGACTACTTTAAGTGAAGACAAAAAGGAAAGCTAATGAATTTGAGATTATAGTGACCTTAAATATACCTTTCCACTTACAAGGCAGATAATAATCAGTTCTGTTAGCTAAGAGACATTTACAAAGCAGTTCTAGAATTTTGGGCAGCTAAGAGAGTTTTTCTGAGAATACGAACATTCACAGAAAAGAGCAAGGCAAAAACCATACAATGTTCTCTTCTGGGAAAACAGATTCTCTCAACTATCTGGGTTATGATACTCCTTCCCGAAAGTTTCTTCTAATCAACCCTACACAAAGATTTGGGATCTTATCTAAAGCTGGAGGTCCCATCTATTTCTAATTTACTCTTTAAAAAATTAAGGAAAAAAAAACCCTTTTACTTATTTATTTGGTACAGGGTCTCACTAAGCAGCTCAGACTTGTAGTGATCCTTCTGTCCCAGCCTTACCAGTGCTGGGATTATAAGTGTGTGTCACCATGCCTGGTTTCAGGGTCGGCTCAGTGTAGGACCAGCATAGCATGTGGTGCCAGGGATCGAAATTGGGTCCTTGCACTTGCCAGGCAGGTGCTTAGGCCATGCAGCAATTTCTCCCCAAACCCTAATTTACTCTTAATGTAACTAAAGTTATAAAAGCTTTTTTCCTTTACAGCAGAGCTAGATAATACACATCTCATAGAAATAAAGAAAGAAGCATGAACATTAGCAGCACTGGCATGATTCAACACTGCACAACTGCTAAGAGCTGAACAGCAACAATTGCTGGTGCAACTATGAGTTTTTAGCTAAAGATGGAAATGGCAAGGCTAGAGCAATGGTGGCAAGCCTATTGCATGCATGCGCAATGGGCTGTTTGTTATCACTGAAAGCTCTAAGAGGCTTACCACCACAGCTCTATAGAAACAGGGCTATCAATTAAGAATAAGAGAACTACAGGCAATAACAATTTCAGAACAGTCTGAACTAGGAGGACTTTGGAGACCATCAATCTAATTAAACTGCTTAATGAAATCTTCCAAGTGACAATAAGTTAATGACAGATTTATAAGAGAATGACATATACCAACTCCCAGTGTTCCTTCCACAACAACATACAGAGCTTAAGAACTGTGGAGGAAGGCTACATCAATAAATGTAATATACCATATTGACAGAGCCAACGACAAGTCATATGATCATTTCAGATTCAGAAAAAAACAAAACAAAACAAAACAAAACAAAACAAAAAAACAACTTTTGACAAAGTCCAGCTCCCATTCACAACATATACCCTATAGAAAACTGGAATAGATGGTCTTTATGTCAATCAGATAAAAGGCATCTACCACAAACCAAGAGCCAAAATCATACTACATGAACAAAACCTCAAAGTCTCTCTAAAATTAGGAAAAAGACAAGGATCTTCAGTCTCTATTCTTATTCAGTGCAGTTCTTGGAACTTTAACCAGAGCAATAAGACAAGAGAAAGAAATTAAAGGAATAATAGTAGAAAAGGAAGGACTTAATTATCATTTTCAGATGATATGATACTCTGTACAAGATCCCCAAAAACTACTAAAAAGCTGCTAGACTTAAATCAATAGTCGTCCTATACACAACTCACTGAGAGAGAAACACCATTCACATTGCATGCAAAAAAACATGAAATGCCTAGGAATCAATTTAACAAAGGATGTAAAAGACCTCTACATTGAAAATGGAAAGATTTTTCTTGCTCTTGGAAGAACCGGTGTATTTAATGTAATTCCTATCCAATATCCAATATAGCATATCTCACAGAATTTTTGGAACCAGAAGAGACCTGTTTTGGTTACTTTTCCCTCAGTGCTGAGACAAAATATCTGATATCCAAAATTAAAGGAAAAACATTTACTTAGTTCAGTTTGTGGAGGTTTTAGTCCAGACTTGGCTGGCTCTGAGGCAGAGTGACACATGGCAGAGGGTAACAGTTCATTGTGGAGAAAGCAGCAGAAGCAGCAAGAGCAAAAAGGGAGAAGCAGCAGCAGCACAGAGCAAACCTCTTTCCTTTCCTTAAATTGTATGGAGAGTACCTAACCTAGGGTGGGTGTGGCACTCACCCATAATCCCAGCATTGGACCCTGAATCAATCAAAAACTCTAGAAGCCCGCACCAAGATTGCATGAGGCTTTAAGAGGACATCTAGACACAAACCGTAAGACCTAAAATAGAAAAGGCAATTCTGGGCAACATAGTCAAGTCAGGAGGCATCACTATCCTTAACTTGAAACTGTACTTTAAACTACAATGATAAAAGCAGTGTGAGGGCTGGCTAAATTGCTCAGCGGATTAAAGCACCTGCTTAGGCAGACACAGGAGCCAGGAGTTCGATCCCTGGGACTGCTGGGCCGGCCCTGCCCCTGGAGCATGCTTAGATGGCAATTGACACTGGGCATGGTGGTGTGCACCTGTAATCCCAGCTCTTGGGAGGCTGTAAACAGGAGGATCACTACGAGACACAGTGCGATCCTATACACCCTTGCTCTAAATACCAAAAAAAAAAAAAAAAAAGGAGAGAAAACAGTATGATACTGGCAAAAAAAAAAAAAGAAAGAAACAGATCTAAAGATCAGTGGAACAGAATAGAAGATACAGAAACAATTCCAGACATACACAGCCACCATATCTTTAATAAAGATACCAAACACAAACACTAGCTGGAAGCCTCTTCAATTAATTGTGCTGGAATAACTGGCTCTGCACATGCCAACGACTAAAACTGAACTCCTATCTTCCACCATGCATGAAATAAAATTTGAAATAGATCAAAGGTCTAAACATTAAAACAGAAACATTAAATCTGCTGAAGACAGAATAGGTAAAACTCTTGAAGACACTGGTATAGGTAAAGACTATAAATGGGCATGTATGATGAATACATACTTCTCAGATGAAAAAATACAAACAGCAAATAGAAAAATATTCAACATTACTAGTCATCTACGAGATGCAAAATAAAACATGGGAAATTCCATCTTACCTCAGAATGAATGACTATTATTAAGTAATCAGTAACAAATGCCAGAGGGGCTGTGGTGAAAAAATAAACCCTTCTCCACTGTTCCTGGGACTGTAGACCGGTACAACTACTATGGAAATCAATGTAGAGATTCCTTGAAAGATTTGGACTGGGGGTCCCATTTGACCTATCTAGTCCCCTTCTGGGTATGCTTCCAAAAGAATTAAAAACATTGTACCACAGAGATAATATGTGCACCCATGTTTACAGCAGCACAATTTGTTTTTGTTTTATTAGTAGTATTTTTTATGTATTTTAGTACAGGATCTACACGGTCTCACTACACAGATCAGACTCGTAATGATCCTCCTGTTTTCAGCCTCCTGAACACTGGGATTATAGGCGCGCACCACCAGGCCCAATCTATGGGCATCTCAGCACACCCTGGGGGCAGGGCCAACATGGCACGCCATAGCAGCACAAATTTTAATAGCTAGATCTTGGAAAGAATCCAAATGTCCATCAGCTGTGGAATAGATAAAAAAGATATGGTCTTTTTATACAGTGGAGCACAACTGAACCACAAAAATAATAAGATATGCTAATGTCTTTATAAGTGTGATCATCTTTTTTTTTTTCTTTTGGCGGAACCAGGGATTGAACTCAGGCCCTTGCACTTGCCAGGCAAGTGCTTATTCTACTGAGCTATCTCCCCAGCCCCTATAAGTATGATCATCACATGACAATTTTCAGTATTAACAATATTAAATGGTCTTTACCATCTCCCTGTGAACTCTTTACTACTTACTATTTTAATTCTTTAAATCTATGTTTTCATTCAATTTCAATTAAGAATTCTCCTCACTGCCCCACTCTCTTTTCCCCCAGGTACTGGGGACTGAACTCAGGTAGCACCCAAGCTAGGTTTCCCCAGCCTTTTCTGTATTTTCCAGACATGGTCTCAATAAATTTCCCAGGCTGTCCTAGAAAATTTGGTCCTCTGTCCTCAGCCTAATAACTACATGAAATTACAGGTGTGTGCTACCACACATAGCTAATAATTCACTTTATACAGAATTTTTGAAAGGATAACTTTGTACTTTTGGAGAAAATACTTTTAAGACATTTTCTAAAACAGGTTATTCATATTAACAAAATTAAGGAAGTTCTCCCTGGCATGATTAATATTTAAACATTAGAGACAATGACTTTTCTTTATGTTGGCTAGTTTATGATAAATAACATACTACATAGCTTCACATTTATTGAACATTAATCTGACGCATGAGAAAATACACTGTAGTCTACAAAGTAGGTATTTTCTTAGTGTATTTGCTACAGGGTCTCACTACTCAGCTCAGACTCGTAGTTACACTCCTATTTTCAGTCTTCCAGTGTTGGAATTACAAGTGTGCACCACTACACCCACACTTGGTGGTCAGAACTACATGTGGTGCCGGAGATTGAACCCCAGTCCTTGTACTTGTCTAAGCAGGTGCTTACTTCACTGAGCTATCTTTCCGGCCCTTGAAGTAGATATTTTCAAGAAAAATTTGTATGTATCTTGGTAACTATAAAGGTTTAATATAATTTTCAGTCTCCAAATGTATATTCTTTCTTATAATCAAAGAATAACAATAAAGTTTTCTCATATAATTTATGATATATTCCTTTTTAACTTGAAATCATCTTCCCAAATTTTAGAAGTCCAGAATGTAAAGTAAAATCTCATTTTAAAATAATGCTTGACAATTTTTTTCAGTAGTGATACGTTTTCTAATTTGAAAGCCACTGAAAGATACACACTGTCCTAAGGATCTAAGTGCCTGCTTGTCAGGGTTTGACTTCACAGCTGGATAACCAGGAAATATTAAAGCTCCTGGACGGACAAAAAAACCAAACCAAACAAAAAAAAAATAATGCTTGAATCATTCTAATAAGGTATGTTAAATCATATTATCCCAAAAATAATTTTATAAAATAATGCAAATCTGTTTAGGGTTTAAATAAAAAGTGTCACTAATGACAGGCCAAATGAATGATTAACTGTCATCATTTTCTACAATTTCACTGAAAGGCCACAGATAACTGAAAAAAAAAAAAAAAAAACATGTTGACATCATACTTCAGTGAGAGGGTTCACAAATCAAACATTTATCATTTGATTTAGAATTTTAAAAAATCATACATACACATATGTATTAACACACCAACCTGAGCTATCCTAGAGAATTTTTTTGGTTATTATATAAAATTTAAAATTGTAGTTTAAAAATGTAAAGATTCCTAAGTATGTATTTGTAATTATAGTCTTTCTATAGTAGTTCAATGCATATATAATAAGCCAGTTTTTATACTATTTTTATATAGTGTAACTCTGGATAACAACGATCAATGTGAACAATCCTTCCCAACCTACCTTGTCCTAAGAGCAAGCCAAGCAGCTTCAATATCTGCATACAGATTCTTCTCTGTTGGTTTTCCAGAACTTGCACCATATCCAGAATAATCATATGAGAATATATTACAATTAATCCGTGATCCCAGTCCTATGTAAAAGCTGCTCATCTGACCAAGGTCAACAGCATTTCCATGTGAGAAGAGTAAAGTATATTTGGCATTGGGTGAGCAACGCACAAACATACAGGCAATTCGGTTGCCTTTACTGGTTCTAGTCATAAAACATTCAATAGCATCTTTTTCTCTAGAAGAGTACTGCCAGTCAGCTCTTTCTGAGAGGTGCAAAGTCCAGCGGCTTCCACTTTCATCACACATCAGTGTGTAAGTTGGATCAGGTGGCAAAAATGCTAATTTTGAAGCAATTTTCCCTGGGCAAGGTGGACAGCAGAAGAGGCAACATAGCTCACTAAATGAAAGATTATTCATCCTCTGAAAAAGAAAAACAGACAGCAAAGGTTTTTAATGACTCAATGTGGATTCTGTATCACGAATAATAGGTTAAAAAAGAGACACATGGAATTATCACTGGTGGTCAGTATCTACTACTACAATTGCAAGGATCTGCCCCAAACAGATCTTGACATCTTTCTAAAAATACATTAAATCCTGGAATGAGGCAAATATTCCTAGCCAGTAGATAAAACTCAAACACTGTATGTTTCAAACAGTAATTATTAAAAATAACAAAAATGGGGGCTGGTGAGATGGCTCAGTGGTCTAAAGCACCTACTTAGAACAAGCTTAGCAAAGCACAGGGACCGCGGTTCAATCCCCCAGCACCACATGCCAG